CCTCGCAGATCGGCCATGCAGACCGTGCTTCGGAGGTACTTAAAGATCCTGCAAAGCCTTCAGGCGCGACGGACCTGACGCATGGACCGGACGCGTGGTGGTTCTGCTAACTTGGTTTCTCAGCGCCGTGGAGAAGCCATCCTACGCCATCTACGCTCAAAGGAGATGATCGCTTCGTCCACGGATACCCTTCGAAGAACCTGAATAACGTGGAGAAGAATAGAGAGGGAGAAAACCTCAGCACATCATAACGCTGTGAACTGAGCCGGACTAGCGCTGGAAAAAGTGACCTGGTTCTCGTCTAGACCTCTAGCATTCAATGTCACCAAAGCTCATTTGCTTGACCTGGACATGATTGGACATGTGACATGCACCACCAAGCCCCCAGGCATCAGCGAAGTTGGAGCCTGTTTGTGCTTGAGCACCTGCATTGATGGTCAATCTCCCATATCTCCCTATAGTATAGAATATCCAATAGATGATATACATAGGCTTTCACGATCAAACATCAGTATCCAGATAAATAGTATACAGTAGCAACAACCTGAAACGGAGCAGGTTTTCCAGGAGGCCTTTGGGCCCGAACGCGCCATCGATCAGGCCAAAGGTGCTATGAATGGCGGCTTAGCCGCGCAGCTTTTGGAGAAGCAGGTGCTTTGGCGAGTCATCACACCTTTGAGCTGGTAGGGGTACTGGACTGCGCTCAGCATGTGAGCTAGGAGATTCTCAAAACCCACCCCTTTTATTCCCTGGTTGTTTTCCCCCTTTTGGCTGATATTTGCTGAACCCTAGCACAAGCTGCAGTTTTGTTTGTTCTTGTGCCGAGATGGAGCTGAATTGGCTGACCATTTCTTGTTGAACGATCCTCAACAAAATCCTTGCCCATATTGATGGCACCACGTCCAGCGCTCCAACTCAGATTTTGGGATGTTCGCCCCTTCGACATGGCCACTTTGTTGGATGCCATGACCCATGAACTATGAACAATTCCGCAGAAACAGGCGATAGGCGAAACGGTGCGCGTCAAGGTAGATGGACCAGCAAACCAGTAATCGTGTGTATGTGTGTTTGTGCAGCGAAAGATAGGAGTACCATGGTACATTCCAACCTTGGGAACAGCCCCTTTTCCATCCCTGGTTTTGCTTAGCCCTGCTTTAAAAATACAAGTCCCAGCAGTTCCAGGAACGGACGTCGGGGTCCTTCTATCACATCCACAGCTCCTCCACGTGGGACGTGGGACAAACACACCATTCCGACATGGAGCTGTTGGTGGTTGATTCTCAAGCACCCTGCGGTGTCGGTGTGGTAGAAATCACCAACATGGACGGTTACCTGGGTTTGCGGCGGTCTGTACCCGTTCTCTTCATCGACCGGACCAGGGGCTTCAGCGAGGGCTGCGGCGAGGCATGCAGGACGAGCCTTCGGGAACCTTCGGGGATCGGCATGAGGAGTTTAAACACCAAGGGGAATGGAGTTCAGCAGACGTGTAGGTCTGAGTTGTGTAGTGAGTTCTGAGGGTTTTTCTTGCCTACATCTGCCTAGTAGAGATCTCTAGGTGACTTTGGGGATGTGTTTTCAATCTTCCCACAGTATCAGTCAAACCCGTCACCAGGCCCAGCAAACTCCCCAAATGCGAATGGTAGAATCTGCCACGACCGCCCACCACTGGAATGACCAGGGGGTAGGCCGTGTACTGTAGGCCGCCATAGCTATGGTGGAGCAAACTGCCGCTCAACTGTGTCATACCTCTTGGTCAGGAGATAGTGTCGTGTGGTCACCATGTGAGAAAGTACTTGGCCGTTCTATTCACGGTTTACTGAATTCTTCCTAGGGCTCCAACCACCTCCTGAGAAGATGGTTGGGGTGGGTTTGGGGGGTCTAAAATTGGGGTGAGTTTGGGGGGTCTAACTTTCTAACCACCTTCTGAGGATATGGTTGGAGCCCTAGGGTCTGTGAATTCTCATCAACCCTGGGCCCGAGTCGCACTTGGACTCGGTCGCTAGGGATTTGGATTGGGGGGGGCCCGGGCAGGTCCAACAAGCGTGCCTCCAAGCTCCCCGGCCATCAAACGTGAGGACACCTCGGATTCCGAGAGCTCTGAGTATGTGCGATGATCCCTGGATTTTGTCGTGCCGAACTGGAGAAAGCTAAGACGTGAAGGCTTCAAAGGTTATTCAAAGCTGATATGTCTTACCCTTCCCTGGAAGGTTGATCTTGTTTCCACTTGGGTTCGTGGTTCCAATTATTCCATCAGCTCTTGCTGATCCCAATGTCTCATTTGGGTTCACGTTGTTGGAACTAATTCCTGGGTTGAAACCACCAGCGTTTGTGTTAACGTCCAAAGTAGTGTTGCTGAACTTCGCCTCGGCAAGTTCTGCAGTTCTGCAGGACAAAGACAGTTTCACCAGCGGCTGGAGAGAGACTGTGTAGACTACTATGACCCTCAGTTCCAGGTGTTTCAGCGATCCTCGTTGTTTGGTCTTGCGCCAGGGGTTTGCAGATGGAAGATCGAAGACAGCATGCCTTTTGCGATGCGATGTGCAATACCATGTGGGACTCCCTGGTGGACGGGACCCACTATGGGAACCAGGCTTGTACTAAGGGTTTGACACCACCAAAGCAGGTCATTCCCGTTGTATCACTTCAACGGTCTAGCAACTCTAGCCCTAGGGATCCAGGAAGGTACCGAACCTCAGGTTCGGTACGACTGGACCCGACTGGCTGGCACCGTCTCAGTGTCTCCAATATCTCCAATCACCTGAGGTTCGGTACGACTGGATCCCTAGGGTAGGGTCCTCAGAGTTCAGGGGGTCTTTGTGAAACGGACATCAGGAGGATGCTTGACGGTCGTCACACATGTCCAAAGACACAAAAGAAACCCGGGTAGTTCAAACTGTTCCAACGTGGCAAAATGAAACATGAGAATACATGAGACATGTTCCCCCAACGAGTAGATTCAACGCAAATGACCTTTCGCCAGTTTGCACCACTCATTGTCCTGCCATGTCCCACCAGTTTGCACCACTCGAACTCGGAGTGGCCTGACCCAGTTCTCCCACCTGTGTAGATTGGCCTCAGATGAACTTGGTCTCATATTCCAGGTGCTATCGAAAGAATGGCACGCAAAACACCTCGTTCAGTTCCCATATGTGCTCACATGTCTTTAGCTATATTGGTATTGGTGCATTGGTGCAGACATGTTCTGAGTTGAATGTCAGATCTGCATTTTGGAGACCTTCCAGCAGTGAGCATCAGATGAGTGCCAGCACCTCCACCGTCACTCTCCAGCTCCATGTAAGATCAGCGTCGCCTGTGCAAGTCTGACAGCAGCTCTCAAATCAAGGTGTATATTCTCATGCTATGTTAGCAAACATGAGTAGCATCACCATCGCTTCCGGGTCGCTGCAAAAGCGGAATTAGTGCATTCCAATGTATTCCAGCTAGTTTCCATGCACTGTAGGTGTCCATGTACTTGTAAGTGGTGCTCTTCAAAAGGTCAGTCCTTTGCCTAAAAAGATGGAAAGACAATTGCCCTAGCCTTGGCCAGGGTCCTCTGAACAACCACATGGCGGAGGGTAAAGGGCAAGCACCCCTGAAGACATTGTACTCGCTTAAGAAACGTTTAATCAAAATCCTATAAGATCCTTGTTCAAATTTGCTCATGTTCAGGCTTTACTTTCCCTATGCTTCTGAAAAGGTACGCCTGGATCCCTAAGCTTTGGTCGCCAAAGCTGTCAGACTCTGCAGTTCATTAGTCAATGCTCCCGTGGGCCTCACCGGCGTTTTCGTGACAGAACTCGCACCGTGGAAAGAGCGGTTTTGCGCGTCTCGGTGAGTAGTCAAGATCCGCTGGTGACAGGCCATGCAGTGAAGCATTTGGTGGTTTGGTGTTTCATGGTGTTTCCATGTGTTTCCTCCAAAGGCTTGGCAGTTTGCAACTTTCAGCCAGAGTTTGCCAGGTGCATGTCACAAGACTTGCGCATGATGCGACAGCAGTTGACCTGACTGGCCAAGCGCGCGCGCGACCTCACCTGTCCGACCCTGTCGCGCTGGCTCGAAGCTGAATTCGTAGGCTCGGGCTCCTGGACACCAGTGGAACAGGTGGAGCAACCCAGTCTCTTGGCTGCCCACCAGTGGAGCACAGATTTGCTCTGCACCAGTGGAGCAGAGCAAGTGCAGTTCAATGTAGTTGGGTTCCGAACCAACAAAGGAAGGATAGGTGCTTTTGTCACATCCACGGCCCCTGGATGGGACAAACACACCATCCGACATGGAGCTGTTGGTTGGTTATTGATTCTCAAACACCCAGCGGTGTGGTAGAAATCACCAACATGGACATGCCCTGGTTTTATATGGTTTTGTGGTTTTCCGGTGTTTTTGTTTTCCCCCGGTCCACTGACTGGGTAGAAGTTGGCTGACTGAGTGTAGCAGTTCCAATGCGAAGAAGGATGAATGGGTCCTAAGCACTTCCAACTCACCCAACAAAACTCAGTACAGTAGCTGGATCTTTTGGAGGAATCAAGCACTTCCAAATACGCTGGAGTGAACTCTATGCCGCAGCTTGGACACCAGGACCAAAACGATGTAAGGTGGGTATAGGGCAACTGATGTACATCATTTCCTTGATCATGGATGAGTTTCTGTCCATACTGTACCTGCCCGGAATACCTATATAAATATAGGTATTAGCTCCGCTCGTCGAACAAGAAGCCCTACAGCAACTAGATTCGACAAAAACAGTCTTTCCAGCATCAAAGCTTTGACAAGAACAAAAGTACTGCGCGCCCGCACGTGGATCGTGGAGGGGCGAGGTGGATCCGCACGGGACCTGGTGAGGAGTCCCTTTTGGTGAGCTTTTCCAGGCCTCTTCGTGACCTCAAAGCAACCAGGGGAGAACTTGTTCGGTTGCTTCGAAGAACTGGGTATATATTTAGATCTCCTTCTTGTATGGCGCTCTTTTGACATTGCACTGTTTGAACCAAACACCGTTCCAAGGTGCAATGGACTTTGATCTGGCGCACAAGCACAAGAAAGAGGCGGATTCTTTTGCAGGGCTGGGTGACTGTATGATACCCTTCAAGTCAGTTGGACCTCATTTTACTGGAGATGGTCATACAAAACCAATACTTACTGAGGTAAAAGACCAGGTTTTACTGGGCCTTTGGACTTGCAGGGATAGATTACTTTTCAGGAATTGTACAAACCTGTCCGACACATCAAAATGATCAAAGCTCAATGGCCATTTGATGTTCCAAGTTTCACCTTCTTGTATGTTTTAGCTGTACAAACCAAGGTGCTAGCCTAGTAGCCAACTAATTGAAGACATGCCTGCTTGTGCAAGCCAGGAAAGGTTTGATGAATCATGCGTACTTTCATGGTAATTAGCGTACCCCCGAGACGACCAGACTATTCTTGATCTCAGCCGATGCCTTTGGCCATACCGGACATTTCTTTGTGCCGTACAAAGCTGACCCCGAACACGGATGATGTTCCGAAGCAGGGAGAGACCAAAAGGAGATAGGGTGGGGTCGACGGTCGACACCCTGGACCAAGGAGTATAGTCCCTAGGGCTCCAACCATCTCAGGAGGCTGTTAGACCCCCAATCTCACCCCAACCACCTTCTGGGGATATGTTTTTTCACCCGAACGGGAGTCCTCAGAACGTCTTTCATGTTTGTCCGAAGCGATGGCCGGAAGATCCGGTCTAAGACCAACAGTCCGATCTTCCAACGATGCTGCATGTGTGTTGGTTCTAACATGGGCCTTGGGGCGATGAATGGAGAAGCGTTTCCGGGAGTGCTGATCGCCGGGGACAAGTACTGAATGGGATGAGTCAGCCTTGTATGAAAAGACATATATAACATTTCAGCATAATTCGTTGGAAGATCTATAGGGCCCAGAAACGACCCATGGCACCCCAGGCAAGCTGGATGAGTTTAGTGGAGAAGTTCACCATTCTCAGCTGAGGGATTTGCACGGAATGCGAACCAGGTAAGCCATCACGTCACGTCACCCGGTTCAAGGATGCTCAAGGCACCGGGTGCTGCTATGTGCTCAGGTGATCGACTCGGGTGGGTCGTTTTCTTCCGCCAGGTGGAACAACGCCGAAGGGAAGCGAAGAGAAAGTTAGAAGAAAAGAAGAAGGAGAGACTCACGGGTCCTGACACTCATTGACTGACGGGTTGGACATTTGGATTTTGATTCAGGGTTTTTTGGATGTTTTTGGGGTGAGGGAAAAAAAACAGCTCCCAGGTACTGACTCAGTGTGGAAAAGAAGGGCACGCTGTCTTGTGTGTGTGTGTGTTTTTAGGGGTCAGAAGAGGCCACCACCACATCAAACAGGAGCTAGACTCAGGGCTTAGATCATGTTTGAGGTACTCTAATCACACAAGTTCCACTTATATAAAGGCTACATGCTTGGACCAAGAGGCGCCTTACTAGTCCTTCTTTGGTCTATTCACCGCTGCCACTGGTTTCGTTTCACTGTGCACCTGACCTGAGAAACTGGTAGCTTCTGGGGTGCGTCTCTACCGGTTCCATCAAGGCGGATTCCTTTGGGCAGAGCCTCCTTTTGGTCGATCAGTATTTGTTTTGTGGTCGGGTGAAGTTTTGGTCCCGGATCAATCATCCTTCGGCAAGAGTGTTTGGCTTCCGACTCTTGAAGCCCTAAGCAAATCGATTTGGGGGGGTGTTTGTCATTTGCTTGTCAACCTTCAGAAGACGGGTTCGGGCATCACCTCTTGAAATCTGCTCCCCGTGCCTTGTATGCTTCTGTCGATGTTTCCCTGTCCACGTGCAAGGCGTTCTGCAAGGCGTTCTGCAATCTCTTTGTCATATGTTTGGTATACTGATTTGTTTGATTTGTACCTTTATTATCTTTATTCACTTGAAGCTTGGATTTTCAAACGTGTCGCTCAGATTGCTCAGGAGGAGGAGATTCGGGCTGCCATGGAGCAGGCGTCAATAGGGCGCTGGGGATACGCCAAGTGTCCATTTGCGTCGCCATTGGCGACCTGTGTCATCAAACTTCTACACAGATCACATCTTGGAACGGTGAAGCGTGAGCTGGGAGTCATCATGATGAAGATTTGCATGATCTTGGGGCCGTGAATTGCAGTGGCCTGTCCTCATGTCAGGGGAACTTCGAGTGATGGTTTCAGGCACTTTCCTGTTCTGTCCAACCCCAAATCCAGCATCTTATGATATCACTGTAACCATCATGTTCATGCCTTTTCATTGTCCACTGCAACAAGTGTGTGTGTGTGTGGATCAGTAGGTGTTCCATCCTCCAAAGATCAGGATCGTTGGAGGAGTAAGGAGCACAGGGACATCGTACAGGAAGGAAACGCCCGCGACCACTCTGCCCAGACACGGCCGATCTTTCCCCAGACGCCTCCGGGGGTCGTCGACGGTTTGAGACGCCTGGGACCGACCGGGGAGGTCGAAACCCAAGTCCGGTCGGTTTCCCTCGGACCAAACTTGGGGCGCCGGAAGTAGACGTTTCCTAGGCAGCAGTTCGGAGTTGGGTGCTATCCGGTTCTATCGGGGTGCCCAGAACGTCACATCAGGTGGGACGAAACACCACAGGCCCCGACACGTGACTGGACCTGCTGGTTGGACCCCATCCGCGCTCGAAGCCTCGGCACCACGGGGAGGGGGCAGCTGAAGGTTGACCTCTTGAAACATCCTGAAACCCTTGTAGCTTCACCACCAACAAAGGTTGAAAATGGTTGAAGATGGTTGAAGAACGACCAAAAAGACATCAAAAGACTATGACCACATTTTTGTAAGGGTCCTTTTTCAGGTCGCTGAACCTCTCTTAACCATGTTTGGTGGTGTGGTTCTGTTGATCTGAGGTGGTCCAAACCGTTTTCGTTCAGCTTCGGAGAGTCCCCGATCGGTTCGTGACCGAAGAAACGACCCATGTGACCGGTGTGCTTCGACCGATGGCGGGAGGGTTCGACGGTTCAAATTCACCCGAGTCCTACGTTCTAAGAGCAGAACATCACGGTCCTGGTGTGAACTCTGGGAGACCCCGGATCCATCTCGCAAGAATAGACTGGTCGATTTCCCCGACCAGGGAGTCGATTTGGGGTTGGGAGGTCTCCCTGGATGCCGACCCCTAGACTGGGGACTCAGTTCTGTGGTCACACCAGCGTTTTGGACCTAGAGGGTCATCCTGGAGACTTCAAAACTATCAAGAGAGGGGGGCCCAGAGTGATTTTTAGGACGACCTGTTTTATCTTTAATCTAGGGTCATGGTCATGTCCCATTCTCCAGAGTGCACTGAGTTCTTTTCTAAGGTTTGTTGCGCCCATTGCCCGGTGTGGACACAAATTGGTTGTTGTTCGGCAGTCAACGTGTTTATTTGTTGGACATTTCAGGAGCAGCGCGAAAGGGAGGAAGAACGACACCGGCAGGCGCCGTTTTGTTCGCAGATTTCTGTGGCGGGGTAGAGGGATTGTTGATAGCGATGTCGAAGTTAAAGACCAAGAAAAGACGGGTCTTTGAGTCTTTAAGGTACCTGATTAAGGGAGCTTCCTTCACTTCACTGATGCAACATATCGTCTTTCCACTTCTGGGGAGGTCCACGGAGGCTCCACCTGGTCTATTCTGCAGGTATTCTCCCGTGTTTTGTGTGTCACTGACCTTCTGGCCCTTCTGCTCCAGCTTCTTTGCTTGATTTGGAATACAGTACTGCATCAAGAATAGAAGAACTTGTACAAAGGGCGATATACATACGCCAATTTGTATTTGCATTGGCTATGCAAACACTCCACACATAAACACCGGTGTTTTGTAGAGTCTATCAGGACTGATTCGGATGGACTCGGCAGTTACCCGAAAGGATTCGAAAGCACAAGACTGGGACGTGGACCTCAAGCAATAGACAATGTATGGCACAACCAGATCTAGAAGTCAAGTTCGATGATAGTTTGCCCGAGTGAAGCAAAAGGAAGTTCTCGAAATCAGGTATTCTATGGTATTCTACTCAGACCCTTCTTTTAACTGCCTGAATCATCATGGAAGTGGAAAATAGGCTCCTGAAGGATAATTTTGCTTTTCAACCAGGTGGTAAAGTCCACTTCCATGTTGACTCGGAGAGAAGAAAGCCTTTGACCACCCTTGACCTGGCAAAGGTATGTTCAGCATCTATGGGGTGTGACCGGTGGAACCCAATCCTTTCCATGAGCCCCAGTCAGTCTGACAACAGAGATGACGCTCAGTCCCGGAGCGGTCATTGTCTCATGGCCCAAATCGGGGCTGACACCTGGACACACCTGGACGTTTTAGTGCTGTCCTTCGCTGGTGGCCAGCTATAGGTCACCTGGCAGGCTCGCAAGGGCGTCTTCTATCGTCTTCTTGGTCGCCGAACTGGCACGCCCCGATGTCGCTGCACTTCTGGCTCGGCTTGGAGCTGAAAGCAACTGCAAGCCACGACACATGTGGGTTCAGTCCCCAACTCCAGCGAACGTCCCGAGATGTCCGGAGCTGTTCTCTTGGAGTCGACTGGATGCCAGCTTCTTCCCGAGTCTGCGCCAGCTAGTTCGAAGCTGCGTTCTTCGAAACAAATCAGACATTTCGGGGGAACCCAAGTTAGCCCCCAAATGGAAACGAAATCATCCAACGATATCTAAGGTATTCCATGTCCATCTTCCCTGCACCACACAGAGCCTTTTTTTTTCCAGATCAACCCCCAAGTGCATTGGCCTGACTCGCCCGTGCGGCGTACGCATGCGCAGGCGCAGGAAGAGCGCTTGCGCGCCGAGGCAGAGCAACAACTCAACGAGGGTGCCAGGCGCGGCTGCATGACGGATGTGAGCACGAGAGCTGAGAAAGACATGGAACGCCATCGGGAGGTGGATGTTTTTGGCGTTGTTTGGGTTAATGCAGCTGCACATTGAAGTCTGGTCAAGAAAAGGGAGTGATTGGACTGGACGGGTCAGCATCGCCCACCCACTGGCGGATGGTTCTGTTGAAACCAGTATGGAGGAGCAGCAAAAATAAGTATTTGGAAAACAACACAATGGACATAGATGGAAATAGCAAGAGTTTATTACACAAATTGACAAATGGCTGCAACATGCAAAGGCAGGAAAGCAAATGATAAATTGGACTCCCTGACAAAACACTTAGTGAATACAATTTCGGAACGATGGAAAGCCATGTGAAAAGATAGTGAACACATGCGAAAATTGGAGAAGGATTAACCAGAACTGGGGCAAGCTACGGGACATGACATACTGTCAAGCTTGGGGGTCGCACAATCCTAGCAATAACTTAAGTCTGTTGCGTTGAGCGCAGGTTTGGCTGCATATGTTTTTATGTTTTCTGCCCGCGTTGATTTTACATACTTTTGGCTTGAAGCTCCAAGCAACAAAGAAGGACAAGACTGGACAAAGAGACAAACAAGAAAAGAAAGAACAAGCGAACATCAAAGGAAAAGAAGTAAAGTAGAAAGAAAGAAGGTGAAAGAGCAAGCAAAAGGATAAAGAAAGATGAAGGAAAGAAAGAAGAGAAGAGGAGGAAAGAAAAGAAAAACAAGGAAGGAAAAAGGCTTGTCGATTGGAAATTTGCAGTTTGTAGAGCAAATTGCATCATTTTTCAGAGGGGGTCCTGTGGCCTAATGGATAAGGCGTTGGTCTTCAGCACCAAAGATTGCAGGTTCGAGTCTTGCCAGGATCATTTTCATTTTCTTCTTTCTTCCTTCTTCCTTCTTCTTCTTCTTCTTTCTTATTCTTGTCCTTGGCCTTTCTTCTTCTTTCTCCTGCTTGTCCTTTCTTCTGCTTCATTTATTCTTTTTTGTGGGTTCCTTTCTTCCCCTCTTCTTTTCCTTCCCTTTCCTCTTAATGATTCTTCCCCTCTTCTTTTCCTTCCCTTTCCTCTTAATGATCCTCTTCTATTCGGCTTCTTCTTTCTCGGTGGCCTTCTGTAGGTCGCTTGCCCAGGCAAGCAGGAAAAAACGATGCAACACACGCGAGCAGTCGGTCGTGAAGGCGATTTCCACGCAACCAAAAGGCGGGCAGACGACCGCTGGGACCTCAAGGACCAGGACGTGGGGAGTTGATATTAGCTCCGTTGGCTCGGCCTTTCGATGTCTGCAGGGAGCAGTCCTCAGCGCAAGTGCAGCCTAAAACAGCAACCAGGGATCGTTAAGGGTGTGCTTGCTCGCTCCTTGTAGCTGCTTGACGTGCACGCAGCAAACATGCTGGAACTCTCCCCCCACGCAGCCACGCTCCCCTGTGAAGCGACGGGATACGTCATCGCGACAGCCACGGAGCCATACGGGCAAACACGTCGCGCCTACCACACGTCAAGGACGGCCATGATGTCCGAGCGCTGCGCCGATGCCCTGTGCACTGGCGGTGGTCGGGCACAGCACTCGCCCGCAACGTCCTGCGGGGTGAGGCTGTGGGTAAATTGAGCAGCCCAGATTATCCAACGCCGAGGCCGAAAAGCTCCCACAGCTTGCGCTGAAGGGTGGCATGTAGACCAACGGGGCGCTGCATCGAGCGGGAGAAGGAGGCAACAGTGGAGGCAGCATATATTAATTGTAGCAGCAACCATATTTATTTCTCACCTTCCTTTCCCTAGGCCTCCAAGTACCTTCTGAGAAGGTGTTTTGGGCGGGTTTGGAGGGCTGAGAAGGTACGACTGGAGGTCTAGGGCTTGAACGTTTGCACCGAACATCTGTGCCATCCTCTACTGCCAGGTACTTGGCAAGGCTTAGGCCGTATCCCTCCAGCAGGACTGATGGGGACGGAGCAGTACGAAGTGGTATGCGTGAAAGGAACCATTCTCGTGTTTCATACTGCATAGCCAGCCACCAATCGGAGTGGCGACATGTTAGTATGTTGTCATATATTTGCTTTCCCAGCAGCAGGTGGATTCTTTTTTTCGGGGTGTGTGCGTACCAAGTGCACAATTTTGTGGAGTTTTGTTGGCGCGCTTTGGGTGGGTTGCTGAAGCAAAGGCCACAGAAATCTGAAGACTTGGCTCAAGTCGCAGGTTGCGGTTGCGGTTCATACAGGAAATAGCTTGCCGGCCGCTATCAGCCCAAGAGTTCTGAAGGCACAGTGAACAGCACAGCTAGTGGTTCGCATATATACACGTGTCCTTTTCAGGGTCCAGAGAGATTTAAAGGCTTACGCCTAACAGCCGGGCGCCGGCCCACTGTGTAGGGCTGGGTCGGGTGCGCGTTAAGCTATCGGGGGCGTACTGGGCCCTGCGTGGTGCCAAGGTGGGAAACTGGTCCGCGTCGGAGACGGGGGCCCTATATTGAGCAAAGTTAAGCTATCTGGTGCGCATCTTGGCCCTAGGTTGGGCCAAGTTGGGCCCATGTGATCTATGTTGGGCACATCTTGGGCCCATGTTAAGCCTATGTTGAGCCTACGTTGGCCTATGTTAGGCCTATGTTGGCCTATGTTTGCCTAGGTTGGGCCTATGTTGGGCCTATGTTGGCCCCATGTTGGCCTATGTTGGCCCTATGTTGAGCCATCTTGGAGGCTATGTTGGGCATATGTTGGGGATATGTTGGCTATCTTGGGCCTATGTTGAGGATATGTTAGGAAATGTAAGTCGTCTGGAGGGCCTCTACCCACAAAATGTCGATTAAGCCTGTCCGCCCGGCGCGCATTTCCGACATCACCCTTGAAAAACACAGCATGTTTGCATTTCTCCCTTTTCCCCGCGTCGTACTTCGATATGCGCAATAAACCCTGTAAAACACAGTGTTTTTTATATTTTCACACACACGAAACACTGTAAATTACGTTGATATCAGTGAGCCGGTGGTCCGCCCGTTTTGGTCCCGAGGGTCGGTGGCAGGGGGGGCGAGCGTCTACAACCTTCGGTTACCACCGAAGGCTCTACGAAGCAGGGCACGGGCTTCGTGGCCGGCGCCCGGACTTTTAAGACGCCGACATTGCGCCACTGCCCAGACAATTGACGTCCCAAAAGGTTCTTTTTGCTGTGTTGGAAGTCTGGTTCCAGTGATTCGCTTGGGAAACACCAGCCGAGAGAGTGAGCCATTCCATGAAATTCAGTTTCTTGATTAGTAAACCCACCCATTTAGATTGCAAGGCCTCTTAAGGTGGTTTTTTGTCAAGAAGTCTACATTACAGATATTACAGCGTGCCTCGGCCTGTCAACAGTTTGAGAAAGGCTTGCAACTTAACCATTACCATCCACAGGTGCCCAGGATATAACCAAAATTTCGGTTTGAAGCCTCGCCTCGCACGCCGCGACGCCTCAGGACGGATGACAAATTGGAGCTTCCGGCCTCTGCTTTGGAGGATGTAAGGGCAAGACTGGGATGCAGGAGGCGTCGAGGCATTCGCAGAGTTCGCACGAACTTGGGTCTATTGTCACACACACACACACCCCGAGCAAGTTCCTGAAGAATTTCCGGAGCAAGTTCCAGAATCAATATCAAGGCGCTGAGGTGCTGCCATTGTAGAGGCGCTGACATGATTCTGGTTGTCGTGCTGATATGCGTGTGGTGTCACGCTGAGCTGCTGCAGTTGGGCCACGCTGTCGCTCTGACTTGCTAGCAGAGTCCAGAGCAGGATCTGGAACATTCTTCCTTGTAGTGGCGTTGTGGTGCTTGCACACATGTGTACACATCATATGTGCCATGCCTCGTATTGCCTCATATTCTTGAAAACTGTTTTATTTTGCAAAGACATGACATGTGCTGGGGAACTTGCGATGGTGCCAGTGCCTCGTAGGCGGATTTTGATGCCCAGTTGTTGGCGATGTTTGTTCGTTTTATTCGGGCTTTGGAGTCTGGAGGAAACGGTGTTTGGTTGGGGGTGTGTTCGAGGGTTTCATGATCTATTCCCCTTCCGTTTAGGCAAAACGAGTGCTGGAGTTCCCGCAAGCAGTCACAGCAGACTACAGTTCCTCCAAGATTCCCAACGACCTTCAAGATTTGGTCATGTTCTGAATGCCAAACAGGTGGTATACATCATGTGCCATCCACTTCCACGTCAATTCCAAAGGGGCGCAGGGCTGTGAAAATATCATTAAAAAATCCATTGGACCCAAGCTGTTAATCGCTTTGAACAGGTTCGGTGTTTTTGTTCGTGGCGCATGGCATGCGGCGTCCCGGTGGCCGTCACGGTCCTGGGCTGAAGAGAAGCGCCCGTCTCTCCAGCGGAAAGCCTGGTCGACCAGGTGAGTCCTGAGAACTCACCTGGTCGTCTTGAGGGTTTTCGAGTCTCAAGTGGAACAACAACAACAACAACAACCTGGAACACAGAAGCTTCATCCTTTCGTGGTCCCAAAAAGGAAGATCCTTGTCATAAACCTTATAAACAGTGCTTCTTTGGAAAAAGATCCATTGGTTTTGGTCTTGGGACTGAGTTTCCACAGTCAATCAGTTTCTGAGCATGGCAGCACCTTTCTCTCCCAGATAGGACCTTTCTGTGCACACATCCGCTGAAAAAGCCATGTCATGCCTGCAGCGCGCGCTGCATCTGTACGCCTGCACAGCGCGCCGCCCGCGCGCCAAGCTGCGCTGCTTTGGCACAGGCATGGGACGGAGTGGTCAAGACGGCAACGGAACCGTCCAATTTTTGTTGGGGAGTTCGGTGGTCTTCGCAGTTTTACCACTTGGTCAAACCTGAATGTGTCTTGAGGATTCTTGAGGTGATTATAGGTACCCGTGTTGACGGGGATCACACCGCACGTCGCAGCTCTGTTTTGCAAGTTTTGTCGAAAGATGGACATAGCCCCTAGGGCCCCCACCAGCCGAATGCCACTTAGTTTAAAGCCTGAGATCCCTGGTGATGAGTCATCCTGCGGTCATTTGGTTTTTGTCGCAGGTTATTGCATGCCGTTGTTTGGTTGCTTTTCCATCAAGTATCTTTTCCAGCCAGGTTTAGAACACATGTCATACATA